AATTCTCCTGCTGCAGCCTCCCAAGTAGCTGGGATTACAGGCGCTCACCAACACACCCAGCTAACTTTTTTGTATATTTAGTAGAGACAGGATTCCGCCACGTTGGCCAGGCTGGTCTTGAACTCCTGACCTCACATGATCCACCCACCTCTGCCTCCCAAAGTGCTGGGATTACAAGTGTGAGCCACCATGCCCGGCCTACTATTCTTAGGTATAAATTGATTTTGTTTTCATGGTTCCTTTGATTTTGCTCTCATGACTCCTTTCTCACCTAGTCATTTTTGGGGTATAGAAACGCCACTGATTTTTGTATATTGATTTTGTAACCTGCAACCTTACTGAATTTATCAGAACCAAGTGTTTTTTGGTGAGCCCTTGAGGATTTTTAGATTAATATCATCTGCAAAGAAGGACAGTTTCACTTGTTCTTTTTCAATTTGATGTCCTTTATCTCTTTTTCTTGCCTGATTGCTGTGGCTAGAACTTCAAGAACTGTGTGAAATAGAAGTGGTAGCCAGGCACGGTGGCTCACGCCTATAATCCCAGCACTTTGGGAGGCCAAGGCAGTTGGATCACAAGGTCAGGAGTTCAAGACTCAGCCTGGCCAATGTGGTGAAACCCCGTCTCTACTAAAAGTATAGAAATTAGCTGGGCATGGTGGCAGGCACCTGTAATCCCAGCTACTTGGAAGACAGGCAGAGAATTGCTTGAACCCGGGAGGTGGAGGTTACAGTGAGCGGAGATCATGCTACTGCACTCCAGCCTGGGTGACAGAGCAACACTCTCCAAAATAAATAAATAAATAAATAAATAAATAAATGAATGAATGAATGAATAAAAGAAGTGCTAAAAGTGGGCATCTTTGAGTTATTCCAGTTCTTAGAGTAAAAGCATTCAGCTTTTCTTCATTCAGTGTGATTTTAGCTGTGGGTTTGCCATCTGGGCATTTCTTTTTTTTTTTTTTTTTTTTTTTTTTTTTTTGGGTGTTTTTTTTTTTTTTTTTTTTTTGTTTGCCATCTGGGCTTTTTTTTTTTTTTTTTTTTTTTTTTTCATCTGGGCATTTCTTATGTTGACATATGCTCCCTTTTATGCCAGGTTTGTTGAGGTTTTTTTAAGGGATGTTAGATTTTATCAAATTCTTTTTCTGTGTCTGTTGAGATGATCATATTGTTTTTCCCCTTCACTCTGTTGATGTATCAAATATGTTGATTTCTGTATGTTGATCCATCCTTGCTTCCCTGGGATACATCCCACTTGATCATGGTGTATTTTCTTTCTCGTGTGATTTTATATTCAATTGCTGATATTTTGCTGACGATTTTTACACCTATGTTCATGAGGGATTTTGACCTATAGTTTTTTTGTTGTTGTTGTCTAGTTTTTGATGTCAGGGGAATGCTGGCTTTATAGAATGAGTTAAGGAGAATTTCCTCCATTTCAGTTTTATAAAATAGTTTGAGCAGAATTGGTCTTAGATCTTCTTTAAAAGTTTGGTAGCATTCAGCAGTGAAGCCATCTGGTCTCAAGACATTTCTTTGTTTGGCGACTTTTTATTCCTGATTAAATTTCATTATTGGGCTGTTAAGGTTTTCTGAATCTTCCTGATTCAGTCTTGGTGTTTGGTGTCGAGCGTTTTATCCATTTCCTCTAGGTTTTCTAGTTTGTTGGTATGTAGTTATTTATAATAATCTCTGTGATCTCTTGTATTTCTGTGTTACCAGTTGTAATGTATCCTTTTTATTTTTGATTTTGTTTATTGGGTCCTCTCTCTTCTTGATTCGTCTAGCTAGTAGTTTATGGATTATGTTATCTTTTTTTAAAAAAAATAACCAACATTTCATTTTGTTGATCCTTTGTATTTTTTGTAGTCTTTATTTTGTTTAGTTCTGCTGTGATCTTTGTTATTTTTTTCTTCTACTAATTTTGTGTTTGATTTGTTCTTGCTTTCTTAGTTCCTTGAGGTACATTGTTAGACTATTTGAAATTTTTTTTTTTTGAGCCGGAGTCTCCCTTTGTCTTCCAGGCTGGAGTGCAGTGGCATGATCTTGTCTCACTGCAACCTCTGCCTCCCGGGTTCAAGTGATTCTCCCACCTCAGCCTGTAATCCCTGTAACCTGGGATTACAGGTGTGTGCTACCACACCCACCTAATTTTTGTATTTTTAGTACAGACGGGGTTTCACCATCTTGGCCAGGCTGGTCTTGAACTCCTGACCTCAGGTGATACACTGCCTCGGCCTCCCAAAGTGCTGGGCTTACAGGCGTGACCCACTGCGCCTGGCCTATTGGAAATATTTCTATTGTTTTCAAGTAGGTGTTTATTGCTGTAAACTTCCCTCTTAGCATTGCTTTTGCTCTATACCATAGGTTTTGACATGTTGTGTTTCCATTTTTACTTGTTTCAAGATTTTTTTTTATTTATCTCTTGATTTCTTCATAGACTGGTCATTTAGGAGCATGCTGTCAAATTTCCATGTATTTGTACAGTTTTCAAAGTTTCTCATGGTATTGATTTCCAATTTTATTCTATTATTGTTCTAAGAGTTACTTATTAAGATTTTGATATTTTAAAAATGTGTTGAGACTTGTTTTGTGTTCTAATATGTAGTCTGTCTTGGAGAATGTTCTATGTGCTGATGTAAACAATATGTATTCTGTACTTGTTGGAATGAAAAGTTCTGTAAATATCGGTTAGGTCTGTTTAGTCTAAAGCGCAGTTTAAATTCAGTGTTCAGTGTTTCTTCATTAATTTTCTGTCTAAATCAGCTCTTATTTTTGGAGCATGTCTCTCTCTTTAAATCTAATAATATTTACCTTATATGTCTGAATGCGCCAGTGTTGGGATGCATATATGTTTAGAATTGTTATATTTCTCAGCTGGGCGCGGTGGCTCACGCCTGTAATCCCAGAACTTTGGGAGGCCAAGGCGGGTGGATCACGAGGTCAAGAGATCGAGACCATCCTGGTCAACATGGTGAAACCCCGTCTCTACCAAAAATACAAAAAATTAGCTGGGCATGGTGGCGCGTGCCTGTAATCCCAGCTACTCAGGAGGCTGAGGCAGGAGAACTGCCTGAACCCAGGAGACGGAGGTTGCGGTNCGTCTCAAAAAAAAAAAAGAAAGAATTGTTATATTTCTCTTACTGAATTGATCTCTTTATTAGCATATAATGATCTTTTCCATCTCTTTTACTATTTTGTTTTGTTTTGAGACGGAGTTTCGCTCTTGTTGCCCAGGCTGGAGTGCAATGACACCATCTCGGCTCACCACAACATCCGCCTCCCAGATTCAAGTGATTCTTCTGTCTTAGCCACCCGAGTAGCTGGGATTACAGGCATGCGTCACTACACCTAGCTAACTTTTTATATTTTTAATAGAGATGCGTTTCTCCATGTTGGTCAGGCTGGTCTTGAACTCCTGACCTCAGGTGATCCGCCCGCCTCAGCCTCCCAAAGTACTGGGATTACAAGCATAAGCCACTGCACCCAGCCTGCTGTTTTTAACTTAAAGTTCGTTTTGTCAGATTGAAGTAGAGGTATTCCTGCTTGCTTTGGGTTTCCATTTGCATATAATACCTTTTTTCATATATTCGCTTTGAGTCTGTTTGTGTCTTGGTGAGTTTCTTAAAGGTAGCATATAGTTGAGTCCTGTGCTTGTATCAATTCAGCCAGTCTATATCTTTTATGTGGAGAGTTTAATCCATTTACATTAAGGTCATTACTGATATATGAGAGCTTATTACTGTCGCTTTATTAATTGATTTGTGGTTGTTTTGTATGTCCTTTGCTCCTTTCTTTCTCCATTGTTTATCATTGTGGTTTGGTGGTTTTCTATAGTGGTAACATTTACATTTGACTCTTTTCCTTACTTGCTTGTTTTCTCTGACAGTGGGTTTTATAGTCTTGTTTTCATGATGGTCAATAGTGTCCTTTTGCTTCTAGATGTAGGGATCCCTTAAGCATTTCTTATAGGGCCAGTCTAGTGGTAAATAATTCCCTCAGCCTTTCCTTCTCCTTTACTTATGAAGGATCATTCTGCTGAGTATAATATCCTTAGCTGACAGGGTTTTTTTTTTCTTCCTTTAGCACACTGAATATATCATACCATTCTCTGTTGGTCTGTATTGAGAAGATTCTTGTTTTATAGAGCATCCTTTTTAAGTGACTAGATGCTTCTCTCTTGCTGTTTTTAAAATTTTATCTTTCATTTTCTTTGACTTCTGACATTTTAACTGTAATGTGCCAAGGGAAAGAGTTTTTTGGATTGTATCTCTTTCAGAATCTATGAACTTCCTGTATCTAAATATCTAAACCTTTTTCACTTAGGAAGTTTCGATTATTATTTTGTTTAATAGGCTTCCATCCTTTTCATTTCCTCTTCACCTTCTAGGGCACCAAAAATTCAAATATTTGGTCACCTTATGATGCCGGCCGCATATGTTACATAGGCTGTGTTCATTCTTTTTTATTTTTTCTTTATTTTTGTCTGACTAGTTTATTTCAAAAGACCTGTCTTCAGGTTCTGAAATTCTTTCTTCTTCTTGATCCCTAGTTCATTGTTGAAGTTTTCAAATGTACTTTGTACACGCACATACTTATAGTCCAGTTACTTGGGAAGGTAAGGTGGGAGGGTCACTTGAACCTGGGAAATTGAGTCTGCAGTGAGCCGTGATCACACCTCTGCACTTCGGCCTCGGCAGTAGAGTGAGACCGTGGCTCAAACAAAAAAAAAAAAAAAAAAAAAAAAAAAAAAAAAAAAAAAAAAAAAAAAAAAAAAAAAAAAAAAAAAAAAAAAAAAAAGAAAGAAAGAAAAGAAAAGAAAAAAAGGGGGAAAAAGAAAACACAATTAGGGAGACATGTGTGCTCAAAAATACCTTAGTGTGGATTTATCAGAACATACACTTCAATTAGATCTATACTTACCATTCTCTTTTATTCTTATTTTGTGTGAAGATGGTAACTCCCTGCATAACCCCTTGTGAAATGTGTTTATTATTTTAGGGACACTTGACATTCAGGGATGTGGCCATCGAATTCTCTCAAGAGGAGTGGAAATGCCTGAACTCTACACAGAGGACTTTATACAGGGACGTGATGTTGGAGAACTACAGGAACTTGGTCTCCCTGGGTGAGGATAATGTCCCTTCAGAAGTCAAAATCTGCCCTTGTATCTTTCCATTTTCCCTTGTGTGCCTCTTGGGAGCCCCTGCATTACTTGACTGAGTTTAAAGCCTTGTTGACTCTGAAATGAAAAGCTCCATAATGTGGGCTCTGGAGTCTAACCATCCCCTTTCCTTAGATGTTCTGACTCCTTCATGATACAACAGTGGTGGTTCCAGAGATGAAGTATCCATGAAAGCTTATGGTAGACTTTTGAAATATTCACTTCTTGTTTCCACCCCCCCGCCCCGTGCTTTGATTCCGTAGTTCTTGGAAGAGAGCTAGATATCTGCATGTGACAGTCTTCTCGAAGCATTCAGAGTAGGCATTCAGCGAAAGAATTTGTGAAATATTTTCCTAGATCCACCTGTGATAGCCTCTCTTCTTGACCAAGCAAAGGGCTGAGATTCTTTTTTTTTTTCCAGGAGATGGTGAGTTTTATTTTGTCTTGTCTGGATAGAGGTTTGATTTGCTCTCGAATGTTCCAGGTTGGAGAGAAATTAGGAGAAAGCACAGGATGTTGAGGTCTATTCGGCATAATCTTCTCCCTCGTTTTCATCTTCACCATCAATGGAGAGAGCAGCATACTTGCTTGCAGAACTGAACATGGAAGCTGGATTTTCCTGATTTCTTTGGCTCAGGTGCAGATCTGGAGTCTTGATCCTTTTTGCCATCTTTCCGATCTGACTCCTTCCAGTGGTCTTTGTTCACTCCATCTCCTGGACCACGGCTAGAGTTCCCAGTTTGGTGTTTTGGGATATTCATCCCATCTATTTTATTTTCATCTTTCCTGGCTGGTCCTTCTTCAGATGGTTGAGCTGGAGCTACTTTGCCCCCACCACTTGTAGGGGATTGCTGCTCTGTGTCTGAGCTCTGAGATGGAGCAGGAGGGTTAGAACTTTGCTTCACCCAAGCATTCTCCTTTGGTGGAGGGGCTGGCATTACCTTTAGAGGCTGATCAGGTTTGGGAGGTTTAGAAGTTGGAGAGAGACAATCTTCCTCCTTACTGAGTGTTTCATTTTCTAGAGACTTCTCACTCTCTCTCCTTCATGCATCCTGATCTGACTTACTTATGCCAGATGTGGTGGAGATCACAGTCTGCGATGACTCACTTCCTGTCCTCGACCCTTCCCGTTCCTGAGTTTCTTCACTCCGCCAGCTTGGGTGTCTCTCCTGAGGCTGTCTTTCTAGTTTGGGCTCATCCAGCTGACGCTGCAGCTTCTCTTGTTCCTTCTGTAGCCATTCTTCTACTTCTCTTTCTCTAGCTGCTGTGTCAACGGGTTTTGCCCCTCCAAAGACAGAAGCAGCTGGACTGGACTGGGGGGTACTAGCAGAGGAATCATCTTCCTTAGGAGTACTCCGAGGCTTTAGATTCAGTTTGGGTCTTTGGGGCGGACCTCTGTCGTCACGCCTATAATCATCCCGAGAGTAATCATCTCTGGAGCTCCATGACCGATCATCCCTTCTGTCATATCGGTCTTCATGGCGGTCCCCGCCTCCTCTGTAGTCATCATCCCTGCGGTATCCACTGCCAAATGCTCTTCTGCCACTGCCTATCCGGGAGTCATAGCCTCGATCATAGTCTCTGCTGCCTGGGCCATCATAGCCATCCCGGCCGCCATATCGATCCATATCCCGGCGAGGGCCGTCCCGGTACCCGTGCCGATACCCATCGCGATACCGGTCTGAATCATAACAATCTCGATACTTGTCTCCAAAGCTATCATCACCTCTAGTCATCAAAGCTGTATGGCAGGACGAGCCCTCCAGTCTGTATCTGTTTTGTCAGAATCCCGATTTCTATCATGGCCAAAAGAACGATCGTCCCTGTCTTTATCCTGTGCTTGATCAGCAACGTCCACTCAAATTCTCCTGTTACCTGGAGACTCTTCATTGAGACTCAGGGCACTAAGCAGGGAATCCAGGTCCTCAAATTCAGCATAACCAAAACCTTTCAACCTCTCTGGATTGCTGGGTTCACGTGGTAAATGCACTGCACTGATATTTAATCCTCTGAAGAATTCCTTAATTGACTCTTCTGTCACATCATAGGGTAGGTTCCCCAGAAAAGCAGTGTAGGGTGGCAATTTGGGAAGACGGCTCCGGTCGATATTGGGTTCCTGAGCAGCACGTGGAGCAGTGGGAAGGTTGGAACAGTCAATTGGAGGCACCCTATACACATCATCATCATTACTGTGCCAAGTTGTTGAAACATCTCCTTCCAGGTCATCTGTTTCATCAGCCCAGCTGACTGCTTTGGAAACATACGTGCTTCCTCCACCAGTCCCCCCATCCTCAGCCAGAAAGTCTTCTTATTCTTCTTTTTTGCTGAGGCCGCCATGTTGGGAGAGGGAAAAAAGCGATTCTTTTTTTAAGAGATGGAGTCTCGCTCTGTCACCATGCTGGAGTGCAATGGTGTGATCTTGGCTCACTGCAATTTCTGCCTCCTGGGGTTCAAGCGATCCTCCTGCCCCAGCCTCCCAAGTAGCTGGGACTACAGCCTAATTTTTTGTATATTTAGTAGAGTCGGAGTTTCACCATGTTGGCCAGGATGGTCTTGATCTCTTGACCTCATGATCCGCCCACCTCGGCCTCCCAAAGTGTTGGGATTACAGGTGTGAGTCACAGTGCCCAGCCAAGGGTTGAGATTCTTAAAAAGCCACAGCACATCATGTTCCATTCATTTTATAAGCAGGAAACTCTCTTCCTGGCCAGAGTATTATCTCATGTTGGAGCACAGGAAAGAGCACTGGTCTGAAGAAAGCCAATGCAAATAGCAAGAAAACCAAAAGGGTGGGAATGGATTAAAGGTGTGAAAAATAGGTAAGACCTCATATGGGGAGAGAGGAAGCCACACCATTAAATAGTGTTGGGAAACTCTCAGCAAGTGGGAAAGTTCTATGGGAAAACAAATGTTTATGTCCTGCGAGCTCTTAAGGAAGTTTTAAACTCCGCACCCTCACCCCCTCACCTTATCCCTCTGCTCTTGAGACGTCTAATAGTTGATCCTTTTGCCCTCCAGTGGGGCCGCAGCTCAAACAGAGACAAGTGGAAGTACTCATCCTGACATACAACAGCGCCATCTGGCTTCTGTGAACTCTCTGCCTCCTTCACTCCGAGGGGTCCAGGAAGAGCCACATCACAAGGGTCTGCTTCTCCCTTGGTCTCTCCTGTTCTTGATGCTGTCTGATGCTCAATTCACTTTCCATATAGATCAGAGCTGAGGCCTCCACAGACCCAATGCCTAGAGCTATCCATGCTCCACCCCATTTCTGGTGCTGGGAAGACCTGCTCAGGAGATGGGAAACATCTGCTCCTCCTTTGCATCTGGGGCCCCGGGAGCTGCTTAGGAGCTATGTCAAGCCCTTTCTGCCTGTTGAGGTCCCTCAGCCATTCTGTTCTGCTTTTGTCACAGTTCGTGGGTGTGTGGACCAGGGGAGGGGGTTGGATCTTCTGAGACTGTCACTCAGCAGAACTGTAAGAACAGTTGACAGGTCTTCAAGGTGATCCCCTGTCCTACACAGGGAGTATATCTTAGTCTTTCAGGCTCCTGTCTGTAGGCAGAGCAGACAATCCCATCTCAAGATCTTTCAGAATCTGGCCTCATATGTTATATTTTTTCCTCTCTTCCATTGGTCTTACTACTATATGCTTGTAGAAAAACCTTGGCTTTTCCTGATTTTTTTTTTTTCTCTTAAGTTTGCATGATTTTTCCCTTGAAAACTGACTTTTGGCCAGGTGTGGTGGCCTACACCTGTGATCTCAGCACTCTGGGAGGCTGAGGTGGGCTTATCACCTGAGGTCAGGAGTTTGAGACCAGCCTGACCAACATGGTAAAACCCCATCTCTACTAAAATACAAAAAATTAGCCAGGCATGATGGTGCATGCTTGTGTAATCCCCAGCTACTTGGGAGGCTGAAGTAAGAGAATTGTTTGAACCCAGGAGGCAGAGGTTGTGGTGAGCCAAGATCACACCATTGCACTCCAGCCCAGGCAACAAGAGCGAAACTCCATCTCAAAAGAAACCAACCAAACAAACAAAAAACCCATATATTCCGGTTCACAGGTTGTGTGCTGGTTCTGAAATGGTTCTTGCTTTTTTCTTAGGAAAGAATCATTTACAGGCTGTAACTTTTCACAAGTGTAGTTACTAGTTTTTTTGTTTGCTGGTTTTATCACAGGTTGCTACAGTGTTTTATTAATTAATTGTTATGATTTACAGATGATGGGTTTTTAGTACATTTCATGCAATGTAACTGACATGCATCACTCATTAATGTCAAAAACGCCTGGTCTGGATGGGTACAGATGGTTTCATAACAGGCGTTCAGAAAAATCAGCTATTTTTAACAGTATTTTTTTTTCTCATTTTCTCAGTGCTATTACTGTTTTGCAATGCAGAATTATCATTTATGTACATTATTCATTGCCTAAGTTTGTTGTGGCTTATTTACTATTATATATTGTGTAGTACTTGTATCATTTATATGGGCACAGTAAATGTGCTATAACTAGGTAAAATGTAATATTTATTTCTTTTCAGTAATGAGGCAGCCATGTGCTTTCTGCTAATTGGTGTGTACTTTGTTGTCAAGGTAAAAAAAAAAATACTCATTTCAAGAGAAACTTAGGTTTGTACAATGTGTTTTGGTCATAGGGTATTTGAAACCGTCCTTCTCTAGAGTTGATTTGAATTACATGAAATCGCTCTTTTACTAAAGAATGTGATTCCTTTGTGTTCCTAAAAATTAAAGATCATGATTGGGAAGTTTTATAACTCTATTGTAGATAAATGTTTTTGTGTAATACTGTTATTCAGTATGAAATATTTATTTATGCCAGGTACAGTGGCTCATGCCTGTAATCCCAGCACTTTGGGAGCCTGAGGCAGGCAGATCACGAGGTCATGATATCGAGACCAAGATATCCTGAGGTCAAGATATCCTGCCCAACACAGTGAAACCTCGTCTCTACTGAAAATACAAAAATGAGCTGGGTGTGGTGGCGCGCACCTGTTTTCCCAGCTACTCAGGAGGCTGAGGCGGGAGACTCACTTGAACCTGGGAGGCAGTTGCAGTGAGCTGAGATTGCACCACTGCACTCCAGCCTGGTGACAGAGCAAGACTCTGTTTCAAAAAATAGAAAAAAGAAAAAAAGGAAATATTTACATACTGTTTCTAATTAATTGGAAATCTATGGTTTTTTATTTCTTATAGCTCTCTCTCATAACGGTGTGATCAAGGAATTAGCACCAAAACAGGAAAGTAACATGGGGGATGTATTCCACACAGTGGCATTGGAACAGCATGAAACACCTGACATGCAAGAGTTTTGCTTCAGGGAAGTCAGGAAAAAGATACATGACTTCGACTGTCAGTGGAGACATGATGAAAGAAATTATAACAAAGTGACTATGACCCCAAAAGAAAATCTTACTTGTAGAAGAGACCACCATGATAGAGGAGGTATAGAAAACAAGTCTATTAAAAATCAGCTTGGTTTAATCTTTCTATCCCATTCCCCTGAACTGCAGCAGTTTCAAGCTGAAGGGAAAATTTATGAATGTAACCATGTTGAGAAGTCTGTCAACCATGGTTCCTCAGTGCCACCACCCCAAATAATTTCTTCTGCCATCAAAACCCGTATTTCTAATAAACATGGGACTGATTTCATCTGTTCTTCATTACTCACACAAGAACAGAAATCATGCATTAGAGAAAAACTTTACAGATATGAGCACGACAAAGCCTTTAATCATGACTCACACGTGTCTGTCCATCAGGTAAGTCATTCTGGAGAGAAACGATATACATGTGATCTATGTGGCAAGGTCTTTAGTCAAAAATCAAACCTTGCACGTCATCGGAGAGTTCATACTGGGGAGAAACCTTACAAATGTAATGAATGTGACAAAGGCTTCAGTCGCAGCTCATGCCTGGCGCTGCATCGGAGAGTTCATACTGGAGAGAAACCTTACAAGTGTTGTGAATGTGACAAGGTCTTCAGTCGCAATTCGTGCCTTGCGCTACATCGAAAAATTCATATTGGAGAGAAACCTTACAAGTGTAATGAGTGTGGCAAAGCCTTTAGTGTGAGGTCAACACTTACCAACCATCAGGTAACTCATAGTGGAGAGAAACCTTACAAATGCAATGAATGTGGCAAGGTCTTCAGTCAGACTTCAAGCCTTGCAACTCATCAGAGAATTCACACTGGGGAGAAACCATACAAGTGTAATGAATGTGGTAAAGTCTTCAGTCAAACCTCAAGCCTTGCAAGGCACTGGAGAATTCACACTGGAGAGAAACCTTACAAATGCAATGAATGTGGCAAGGTTTTCAGTTACAATTCACACCTTGCTAGTCATCGGAGAGTTCATACTGGAGAGAAACCATACAAGTGTGCTGAGTGTGGCAAAGCCTTCAGTGTGCATTCGAACTTAACTACCCATCAGGTCATCCATACTGGAGAGAAGCCTTACAAATGTAATGAGTGTGGCAAAGCCTTCAGTGTACATTCAAGCCTAACCACCCATCAGGTCATCCATACTGGAGAAAAACCTTACAAATGTAACGAGTGTGGCAAATCCTTCAGTGTCCGCCCAAACCTCACTAGACATCAGATAGTCCATACTGGAAAGAAACCTTACAAATGTGATGATTGTGGGAAGTCTTTTAGTGTGCGCCCAAACCTCGTGAGACATCAGATTATCCATACTAAGGAGAAACCATATAAAAGAAATTAATATGGGAAGATCTTCGGTCAAAGTTTAAATCTTGTGAGTCATCAAAGAATTTATATAAGAGAGAAACCTTCTTACAAATATAATACATGTGGCGAGGTTTTCAGTCACAGTTCTCTCCTACACAGCAACAGAGAATTTCATTCCTGAGAGAATCCTTACAAGTACAACAAACCCTTCATCATGAGTTCAAGCATTTATTGACGTCAGAGTCCATCTAAAGAGAAATCATATGAATGTATGTGGCAGAGGCTTAATTTTAAGTCTCACAACTCACTAGACATCAAAATATACATCTTTGTATATTTTGCCCATGTTGAAGTGATTACCCAGGGATGAACACTAAAACATCCAAGGATTTATGTGGGGAATCATTCAGTCTAGTTGTGCATGCTAAACTTTTCATATTAGACATTGTAGAACAATTGCAAGTCCAAATATGTTAAAACCTACAACATGATGTATATTAAAGGTTGCAGGATGTTTGGGAGTCACTGGTTATCTTCAGATCTTAAAATATTTCATTATTGGGCCGGGTGCGGTGGCTCAAGCCTGTAATCCCAGCACTTTGGGAGGCCGAGGCGGGTGGATCACGAGGTCAAGAGATCGAGACCATCCTGGTCAACATGGTGAAACCCCGTCTCTACTAAAAATACAAAAAATTAGCTGGGCATGGTGGCGCGTGCCTGTAATCCCAGCTACTCAGGAGGCTGAGGCAGGAGAATTGCCTGAACCCGGGAGGCGGAGGTTGCGGTGAGCCGAGATCATGCCATTGCACTCCAGCCTGGGTAACAAGAGCAAAACTCCGTCTCAAAAAAAAAAAAAAAATTTCATTATTTTAGGTGTCTTGCAGATGACCACTCTATACTTTAGAATTTATGACTTTCAGCCTAAACCTTGAAACCTGTTGATACACCTCCCTACCCGCCTTTCATGGTGATGTCTGGGAAAGAATCAGCAAGATGGAAGGGCTCACTGCATGAGAGGAGGATCATTTCTATTCAAATTCTTTGAAGAATCAGGACTCTGCTTTTGCAAATTAAATTACCAAGCATGGGGGCAGACAGAGAAGAAAGCAAAACGATGATTCTGATCATCATCCTTACTGCGTTCAGGGTGCTCCGACAGAGGGCACTTTGGGTTACAGGAAAGAGATGACCCACAAACTGACCTTGAAATAGAGCAGCCCAAGACCTTAGACACGGGGATTTGTGGGAGGAGAGTAATGGACTACTAGTGACTGATTCCATGGTGGAAATAATTCAGAGGAAAATGGGGGCCACCTTCTGCAGGGAATGGCCATGGCTATTGTATAGGGAAGATTGAAACCACGATAGAAACCGCAACCTCAAAGATGAACCTCAATACCATGTTATTGATTAGGGATTCACATGTACTGCTGGCATTACATTTTGCTACTGTTTTATTCACAATGTATCAGAGATCTTGTGCTAATTAATAAAATTCCATTTTTTCATAACTACGAATGCACCATGTTCATTGTACCAACGGAATTTTATCGCACCTCAGTAGGTTACTTTGTAACAGACAATAACCACACATCATTAGGCTCTTAAGGCTGAAAGAGAGAACAACTGTTTTTTTGTTTTTGGAATTTAAATAGAGTGTTGAGAACATACACTTATGGAGTGCACTTGAGTTGTTCTCCTCACACCCTGCCTTGGGATGCTTATGTGAATGTAATGCAAATCCCAAGAAAGTTTTACACCCTTAGCTGGATCTTTTTTTTTTTTTTTTTTTTTTAAGAGATGGAGTCTCATTCTGTTGCCCAGGCTGGAATGCAGTGGCATGGGAGCTCACTGCAACCTCTGCCTCCCTGGTTCAAGCGATTCTCCTGCCCCAGCCTCCCGAGTGACTGGGATTACAGGCACACTGCCACCATGGCCAGCTAATTTTGTATTTTTAGCAGAGACAAGGTTTCACCATGTTGGCCAAGCTCGTCTCAAACCCCTCACCTCAGGTCATCTGTCTGCCTTGGTCTCTCAAAGTGCTGGGATTATAGGCATAAGCCACCACACCCAGCCAGCTCTATCACTCTTGGTGACTATTGCTCTGCATGATTATTATTATTTTTTCTTTTCTTTTCTTTTTTTCTTTTCTTGAGACAGAGTTTCATTCTTGTTGCCCAGGCTGGAGTGCAGTGTCTCCATCTTGGCTCACTGCAACCTCTGCCTCCCGGGTTCAAGTGATTCCCCTGCCTCAGCCTCCCGAGTAGCTGGTATTATAGATGCGAGCCACCACGCCCAGCTAATTTTTTTGTATTTCAGTAGAGACAGGGTTTCACCTTGTTGGCCAGGATGGTCTCGATCTCCTGACCTCATGATCCCCCCCAGCTTCGGTATCCCAAAGTGCTGGGATTACAGGCATGAGCCACCACGCCCAGCCCCAAACTCCAGAACTTTTTAAAAAGTCTTTTTTTTTGAGACAGAATCTTGCTCTATTGCCCAGTGGAATACAGTGGTGCGATCTTGGCTCACTGCAAACTTAACCTGCTGGGATCAAGTGATCCATCCCAGCCTCCTGAGTAGCTGGGACTACAGGTGTGCACCACCACACCTGGCTAATTTTTGTAGAGACAGCCTTTCGCCTTTTAGACCAGGCAGTTCTCAAACTCGTGAGCTCAAGGGATCTGCCTGCCTCTGCCTCCCAAAGTGCTGGGATTGCAGGTGTGAGCCATCACACCCAGCCACAAACTTTTCTCTTTTGAGGTTTTTCACTACTAATTCAGTCCTTCCTTCCTTCCTCCCTCCCTCCCTCCCTCCCTTTCCTTCTTTACTTCTTTCCTTTTTTCCTTCTTTCTTGATGGGACGGAGTCTCGCTCTGTCTACCAGGCTGAAGTGCAGTGGCGTGATCTGGGCTTACTGTAACCTCTGTCTCCATGGTTCAAGCGATTCTCCTGCCTCAGCCTCCCCGGTAGCTGGGACTACAGGCACACACCACCATGTCCACCTAATTTTTGTATTTTTAGTAGAGATGGGGTTTCACCATGTTGGCCAGGATGGTCTCTATTTTTTGACCTTGTGATCTGCCCTCCTCGGCCTCCCAAAGTGATGGGATTACAGGCGTAAGCCACTGCACCTAGCCTTATTTGTTTACTATTATTATTTTGAGAAAGTCTCAGTCTGTCACCCAAGCTGGAGTGCAGTGGTGCAATCTCGGCTCACTGCAGCTTCTGTCTCCCTGGTTCAGGCAATTCTCCTGCCTTAGCCTCCCGAGTAGCTGGGATTACAGGTGTGCACCACCATGCCCTGCTAATTTTTGTATTTTGAGTAGAGACAGCGTTTCACCATGTTGGCTAGGCTGATCTGGAACTCCTGACCTCATGTAAGCTGCCCACCTTGGCCTCCCAAAGTGCAGGGATTGCAGGCATGAACCACCATGCCGGTCCATTGAAACATTCCTGGTCAGTGTAATTTGGAACAACTTTTTCTTAACAACAGCCCCTCCCAAGAGTAGGCTTTTTTCTTTTTTTTAAAGATAAACAGGTTCTCAGTCTGCTGCCCAGAATGGAGTGCAGTGTTGGGGTCATAGCTCATTGCAGCCTCAAACTCCTGGGCTCAAGCAGTGTTCCTGAGTAGTTGGGACTACAGGTGTGTGCCACCATGCCCAGCTAATTTTTCAAAATTTTCTATAGAGATAGGAGTCTTGCTATGTTGCTCAAACTGGTCTTGAACTCCATGATGAGCTAGGCTCACGTCTGTAATCCCAACACTTTGGGAGATCGAGGCAGGAGGATCAGTTGAGGCTAGAAGTTCAAGACCTGCCTGGGCATCATAGCGAGAACCTGCCTCTACAAAAAGTGAAAAGATTAGTGGAGTGTGGTGGTGCAAACCTGTAGTCCCAGCTACTTGGGAGGCTGAGGTGGGAGGATCACTTGAGCCCTGGAGCTCAAGGCTGCCGTGAGCTATGATCTCAACACTGCACTCTAGCCTGGGCAACAGAGCAAGATGCTCTTTCAAAAAATAAATAGACCAGGCATGGTGTCTCATGTCTGTATTCCCAGCACTTTGGGTGGCCAAGGTGGGCGGATCCCTCAAGCTCAGGAGTTCAAGACTAGCCTGAGCAAAATGGCGAAATGCCATCTCTACAAAAAATACAAAAATTAACCAGGCTAGGTGACATGTGCCTGTAGTCCCAGCTACTGGGGAGATTGATGTGGGATGATTACCTGAGCCTAGCAAATGAAAGTTGCAGTGAGCAGAGATTATACCACTGCACTCCAGCCTGGGTGACAGAGCAAGACTCTGTCTTCAATAACATAATATAACACATAACATAACATAACATACTTTCCCTGAATAACTATAGTCATGCCAAGCACTCATCCACAGCCCCATCACTTGTGCTTGTGCTTTCTAGTCTTGTTTACTCCTCCACATATGAAAAAAAAATTTCTTCAGTTTGTATGTCTTGGACATTTTCATATCATGTGATTGGAACACTCTCTATTGCAATAGTCCTTTGGAATAAACTCTTTCCTTCCCTAAGTCTGAATTTGTCATTTACAGTGGTAAATATCTTAACTGTTCTAAGATAAATTATGTATATTTTCTTTTTGTGGCAAAAGGCTTAATATAAATTCAGTAGGTGAAAGTAGTTCTTGCGACCAGGTGTGGTGGCTCATGTCTGTAATCCCAGCACTTTGGGATGCCGAGGCGGGTGGATCACCTGAGGTCAGGAGTTCAAGACCAGCCTGTGCAACATGGTGAAACTCCATCTCCACTAAAGGGCGTGGTGGCAGGCGCCTGTAATCCCGGCTACTCAGGAGCCTGAGGCAGGAGAATCACTTGAACCCGGGAGGTCGAGATTGCAGTGAGCAGAGATCATGCCACTGCACTCCAGCCTAGGTGACAAGAGTGAGACTCCGTATCAAAAAAAGAAAAAAGACAAAAAGAAAACGTATAGGTGTTTGAGGTTGTTGCCTCGTATGGAATAGAATAATATAAAAAAGAATGCAATTTTTAATCTTTTTTTTAAGTTATTGCTAATTTCAGGGCTTTTAAATGAAATTACTTATATTAATTTTAATCGCAGAAACTTTCCAGGATGCTCGACCCACGTTCCCAGTCTCCTGGGCTGCTTCAGCCTCAATACCATTACTGGGTAAACGCGCCCCCAAAAAATGGTTTCAATGGAAACCGTTTTCCAATCTAAGAAGAAAACAGTTTGATTTTCAAAATAAGTAACTAACAACTATGCTTTTAACTTGAAACTGAAACATCTACGCCGTTCCACAAGACACCTGACAGACTAAAGGCTCTGGGCGTGGGCGGTGGGCATCACACGTAATCGCAGACGCTAGTGGGTCCCTCCCCGCGGTCCCTCCCCCGGGTTCCTCCCCACGGTTCCGCCCCGCGGTTCCTCCCCGCGGTCCCTCCCCCGGGTTCCTCCCCACGGTTCCGCCCCGCGGTCCCTCCCCCGGGTGCCTCCCCGCCCTTCCCCGGCGGCTCCTCCTCGGCCCGCCCCCAGGTGC